CAACTGCTAACCAAACACGATACAAAGGTCAGGCGTGGCACGGCTGGGGCCCATCGCAGCCAAGCCATAGTTGAGAGATTTAATAGGACTTTGGCTGAGCGATTATTCGGCCATCAGTATGCGAGGGAGATGGCAACCCCGGGAAAACGATCGACTGAATGGGTCATGAGGTTACCCAAGGTGGTGTCGGCAATCAACCATGAAGTCACCCGGCTCACTGATAAGAAACCGGCAGACGCTATCAGACTAAAATCAATAGTTGCAGAGCCGGCTGCTCCATTGCGTGGGAAGGAGAAACAGATACCAGATAGGGCTCTAGTGAGGTATCTATACCAGCCGGGGGGAACACGAGGGTGATAGCCGTAAGTGAGCCACCGATCCTATATGGTCAGTCAAAACTTACAACATAGATAAAGTGGACATCAAAGCAGACGAGCCTAACTTGTACTACTTGAGGGATGGGCCAGGTAGGGGGTTTGTAAGAGAGGAATTATTGATCATACCGTACGGCACAGTGTTACCTCCAGTCAACACGGCATAGACCCATCCCCGATAGCTCAGTAGCGTGGCTAGGAGGTGCGTTCGCATCCCCCAACTTTTTCATAGTAGGGGTAATGGTAGCAAGAGCTAAGGGTCCGACCAAAGCCTTACTTGTGAAATAAGGCTTTGCAGAGGCTTTGGTTGAAACTGGTCCAGAACCCCCCATTGTATATACTACTATAGTGAACTTCTTTGGGTGGCATTTAGAAGTTGGTGTGCTGAACAACGGGGAAAGTTATATGGATATACAACTTCTTTATTATAATGTAAGCGACGTTCTGGTCCACCAATTTCAAACCCGTTCTGCTATCAAAACCCATCTTTTCCCCCAAGTTTTCTCCAAACAAAAGTTAGATAATAGACATGTTATACCAACAACTGATTTTCTGCAATATATTGTTACACTCCGCCGCCATTTTGACTGCATGTAATAATTGATGTGTGTCATATGTACTTTTATACCACCATTGGTGGTCTATTGAGAATAAAAGTAAAGTAAAGGCTACAGCTGAACATGGTTGCATAGGTTTTGATAAGCTGATAGGTGGCACGTGTATCCAATTAACCTTTCGTAACATTTTCGTTTACAGAGGAGGACTTGAAACTCGTTCAGTACATGGAACTATCTACCTTTATCATCTTGTTTATAACTTGGTCAATTCATGTCAAAACGATTGAAATCGAATGAGAGCAATAGGTGACATTCATTGGGATGCAGACAAATAAACCCTCCTACACATGTACAAAACATTTATCATGTTCACACTGGAGTGAGTCGCTCCCGTCCTTCTCTATCCCCTACCAATTATGATAAACTAAACTCCTTACAATATAAAGCACCCACGCACCCCACCAAAAAAACCATAGGTGCAAATACTAGTACCTACTACCTAGTACTTACTAGAAGAAACAAAATTACTCAATAACTACCAGACTGGGTCTGAGACCAAAATATCAAAACACCAAACAAAAAGGCACCCTTAATTTCAGAATAAACCCTTTAAAACATCCCTATCCAGCGACACATTACAGTGTAAACTCGATTATCCAGACTAACTCACAATGTCAAGGTCACACTCCACACGTTTCACAACCAAAACATTAACACCGTACCCTGCCTCCCCAGCCATACCTTTTAACATTTAACCCCTTTTCATCTATTTAGTAGACTCCGTATTAGCTTATCAGCAACAGTTGAACTGTTCTGCACAATAAGTCACAATATACTCTACACTACCTACTTAGTTGAATTTATACGCAATCAACTTCCCAACCCTCTTACGTCCAACTTCTCAACTCCCAATCTAAACATAATTAATTTCAATATACAGGTGTTTTATGATATAGTGCTTTATTCCCTAAGTAGTTTTATGACGTTTTTGTTAAACACACTTACCACGTCGGTCGATGAATTGTGGCACTGTCTCAAGTTGATAGTTGGGATATGGGGACAGACAGACATATACGTATGTAGACAAGCCATTCTTGTAGTTGGATGAGAGACTATGACACATACATGTTGAACAATACCTTTTTCACATAATAGTAGAAATATATATGTGTGAAATATGCACACATAAAACGACCAGATGAAAGGCACAGGGTGTATAAAATTCCATCACTGATACAATAAAGCCCGACGGGGAGTTGGTTTGGTTGGTCTGTTGTTTAACACCGGACTAGGCAATATTACAGCTCTATGGCGGCGGTCTGTAAATAATCGAGTATGGACAAGACAATACAGGTATCAACATTATGAGCAAAAAGATCTACGCAGTTGGGTTAACATTGTCAATCAAGTCATCGAGCCTGACCACCCGATTCCGTTAGTCACCTTTTACGACAAGCATGTGTTGCTGAAGACCAATCTAACCCGGATCTTCACGGGTAACATGGGGGGTAGGCAAATGTGTAGCTTAGCCCAGTGAAAAACAGGGCTCATAAAACAGGAATGTATGGACGTCAACTTCTGTATTTGTGGAACACGATGTTACGGAGTATATTCTTATCCTTCATCGAGTGAATGAAAAACAGAAAGCTAAAGAGGTACAGTGATAAACTAACAGTGATAAGAACAGTGATAAGATAACAAGGGAAGCCAGTACTTAATTAGCGCTAAAAATTGGTAGGGTGGATGGACAAATGGAAGCCAGGGATTGTTAATCCAGGCATGAATAATGAGATAACAAAGGTGGCATTTAACAAGGCAAATGGCAATAAAGAAATGTAAGCCAGGAATTAATCCAGAACTAACTAGTGATGTAACAATAAATTAAGTGATTGTTATCCTTTTTACAGACATTTTAAGAGCGCTCATTCATTTCAACGAAAACACACTCGGTTTCTGGAGTTATTGTTGGGTTATTGTTTGGACAAGTTAAAAGATTAATTACAAAAATGCCACAGAATTTGAAAGCATGTTCATGTTGTTTCTATACGACTTAACCAAATGACAGTAAAGCCTCCTGTTGGATTAAATCATATGCAGGCAAGACGTCATGTGCAGATAGGGCAGAATTATGTGAAATATCGCTTTCCAGCTCTCTCGCTTTCTCGCTCTATCGCTTTATCGCCTTGTTATATCGCTTTCTCGCTCTTTTCGCCTTCTCGCTTTCTCGCTCTATCGCCTTCTCGCTCTACCGCTTTCTCGCTTTGTTATATCGCTTTCTAGCTGTGTCGCTTTCTCGCTCTATCACTTTCTCGCGCAATGATATCGCTTTCTCGTCTCGCGCAATGATATCGCTTTCTCGTCTCGTGTTATCGCTTTCTCGTCTCGTGCTATCGCTTTCTCGTCTCGCGTTATCGCTTTCTCGTCTCGCGTTATCGCTTTCTCGTCTCGTGATATCGCTTTCTCGTCTCGTGATATCGCTTTCTCGCCTCCGAATTTTAAGGCGAGAAAGCGATGGCCCGAATGAGCCACCATAGTTTTCCGTTTTCAATGTGTGTCAGTGTATATGTCAATTCTAACCCGGATCTTCACGGGTATATTGAGGAAAAAAGTACTAGAGCTGTCATACGGTCCATTGAACTTGTACGCATTGTAGTGTTTCTAGGAAAAGCCGAAGCTTCTAGTGCCAGGAAAGCTAAAAATACTGCTTACGCCTACATAATCAATATGTTTACCGCTTATGTCATGGCTCCTTACAAACACATGACTATTGTAATGGAGTGACAGTTAACGATGTGAACTCTCACGTAATAGCTTGGGGCTTATATTAAAAGGACTCTGAGTTGCAAGGTACCCAGTACTGGACGGGATGCAGATCCTGGTTGAAAGGTACCCTGTACTGGATGGGCTATAGAACCTGGTTGTAAGGTACCCTGTACTTGACGGAATGTAGATCCAGGTTGTAAGGTACACAGTACTGGGCGGGATGTAGAACCTGGTTGTAAGTTACCCTGTACTTGACGGGCTATAGATCCTGGTTGTAAGGTACCCTGTACTTGACGGGCTATAGATCCTGGTTGAAAGGTACCCTGTACTGGGCGAGATGTAGAACCTGGTTGTAAGGTACCCTGTTCTTGCCGGGCTGTAGATCCTGGTTGTAAGGTACCCAGTACTGGGCGGGATGCAGATCCAGGTTGTAAGGTACCCTGTATTTTACGGGCTATAGATCCTGGTTGAAAGGTACCAAGCACTTGGCAGGATGTAGATCCAGGTTGTAAGGTACCCTGTATTTGACGGGCTATAGATCCTGGTTGTAAGGTACCCAGTACTGGGCGGGATGTAGAACCTGGTTGTAAGGTACCCTGTACTTGACGGGTTATAGCCCCTTAATTGTTTCTTTATTCACTGAGAATATAATGATATTCTGAAATATAATTATAATAATTATTGTTATATGTTATTATTTCATGAGAATACAATTATGGAATATTCAATGCGTATATTTAGTAATTTTTATCATGATCATCATTCTTCTATTTTTCCAACAACAGCATTTGGTTTCGCAAGCAACGCTGAATCACCTGTGTTAGCTCACCACACCCAATTCATTTACAATAGGTTTGTACTCCTCATGTCATATAAACCTAAGGCCTTTTAATCTGATCACATTGAGTTGGATACATAGATCGCCCTAAAGTGGTTGCAACACGGAAAACCGTGAGTGATACAGGTGATACGGTTACAGTAGTAACTATAAATAGTTCTTACGATTATAAAGTAAATGCTACTTTTACGTAAATCACCTATATTTTTTTACAAACGGAATTTGTTTGGAAAGGCTGACATGTCATTAAGATACGCGCTGCGTTCAATAGAAGTCCGTCCCATGTTAGAAAGTTGAGGTGTTATTTTTAAGATCAGTATTTCTCTTAATCTGTGTGAGGATTAGTTTCACATTAGTTTCACGATTGTCACATAAACGCACACTACGACAAAACCAGGAAGAACATTCGACACTCCACAAAAAGTAAGCCTGCAAAAGCAACACTGACACCAATGTCTGCTACGAATATCAGTCCCAGTTCAATTCAATCCCAGACCTGTTTCAAATAAATGGACTGAAATATATCAATTGGTTTTTTTTAGACTATTCATTTCTACTTTCCTTTTAGCTTCCGAGTATTGCGTACAAGTTCTTATTATTGACAGTTTCGGCGAATGGTGACATGAACTGACAGTTCGATTCGCGTGTATTTACAACTCGTAAACAGTCATACAGACGAGAGAGACAGTCACATAGAGCAGAGAGACCGTCACATAGGCCAGAGAGACCTTCACATAGGCGATTAATCAGAGAGACAGTCACACATGTATACCAGAAAGACAGTCACACAGATCAGAGAGACAGTCACATAGAGCAGAGAGACCGTCACATAGAGCAGAGACAGTCACACACAACAGAGAGACGTTCACATAGAGCAGATAGACAGTCTAATGGTGTCAGTAGAAGCTTGTCACACCGGGTGCGATTCCCAATATGGATATATTTTGTGATATGTTAACTCTCGACAGTTCTTGACCATGGGATTACTATATTACCTAAACCTGGATAACACATGTAATTAAAGCTATGGGTAAGTATCACTGGCTTACTCTTCTGTAAGGGACCTAACATTACATATTCTGAGCGCATTCTAGTTGTAATAAAGGTCTATACATATAGTTTTCCACATTAGCTGAAAAATAGTCTCCATAACAAAACCAGTCAGCCATGGGAGGATATAGAGGCTAATTAAACAATAACAATCCGATTCTTCTGAGAAGATACATTCTCTGAGTAAATGAATCAGGGACGGATAGGGGGTAAACAGAGAACCCTAGTTTCTACTTGGAAACGGATTAATGTTAGGTTCATAGCATACTTGCACATGTCTACTATGTATGTTATGTTTCATTTGCAGATTCCCTTGTAGTGATTAACAAATTACGGGAGCATTTTGACCATTCAACTGCTGACGGTCGAGCCCAGAGCACAGGTACTTACTATTGTTTGAAATGTTATCCCATATCCTGCAGGCCACCACTGGCGGCGATTATGCCCTCATTTACAGTAGAGTTTACATTTATAAGTGTCAAAAAGACTACCCCACTCCCAGCAAATTCTAATGGATTTAAACTGAACTTAGGCTGCACACGTATTAGTTTGTGTGTTCATTTTTGTTCATGTATTCAAAAGTCAAACCTATTTCACAGCATATCCTGGCGATTTTGATGGAGAGTAGTCTTGGCGTCAAAGAACTTATTGACTGGGCGGTGAAGAGAGTTGTGGGAGGGGAATTTACACATGGAGATTGCTGGGTGCTCCGGACGCTCCTGAAACTGCACATCAGGCAAAGTGCGCTGACTGCTAATCACGACAAACAACAAGAAGAGGTCGTGAGACATATTTGTTCTCGAACAATTGATGCTCTTACGCAGGTGCGTTGCCGGTACAAAATGTTTCATGTCATTTTTCTGAAACACAATAGATATAGAGATAGAAATAGAATGTCTCACATGTAACCTTCATTTAGTAGATCTAAATAGAATGTAAAGAGTGGCTCGTTCTATACGTGTACTTACATATCCCTATAATCGAAACGTGTATTTAATGATTTCTCGTCTTCATTTCAGGGTTGTTACATAATGCAAGCATTCTATTTCTTCTATGAAAGTAAGTTAACGTTTCACCTTAAAGAACTATGGTATGTTGGACCTATAGAAGACATTAACATTCATGGTCTTTCCTATGTTACAAACGTCCGTCAAGACAAAGTAAAAGACTAGCTTATGATCTTTATTGTCTTCTTGTCCAAGGTTTACAGGAAAGTGTTGATCCTACAGATATGTAGTTTTATTCATATATTGCCTCAAAAGTGCTGGGGCCAGCTTGTATTTTTTAACCACTCTTTTTTTAAATGAATAGAGGGGACATAATTATCTAAATGGTATCGACATATTATTTGTTACAGCCGTGGCACTGGTGACAGCTGCTGTTTCTGAGGGTTCAATATCTGGACAAGACATGGCCAATCAATGCGCTATCACTTTATGGATGACTTTTTTCAATGACATATCTGAGTGTCAGAAGGATGAAAAGGTATCTTTATGACACTCACGGTAGAAACAGTGCTAGACGTATTTAGGTTATTATTATAAGTCATTTGTTCTCTCTGAAATTCCGACTTCGCATTAATATTGAGTCGCACTTTGTGCTACTGAAAAAAAGTTGCAATTATTTGGAGAGGAATTAATTTCAGGTATAATAGTATATAACCCATAAAATCAAGGAATACAAATTATTTACCTCTTAATATCGTGTCACTTGAAATAGTTTACTCTCTATTATCTACTTGATATGTCGGTCCTATTCTCTTATATTGTTGGTGCCTTGACTCACACCGACAAGTTAACCGTCAAAAACCATGATCATAATGTCATTGTTTTTACATTACAGGAGACTATCGACTTACTGAAGCATTTGAGATACCTAGCCATTGAACACTGTGAGAACAATCCCGGATTTTGTTACTGCTTGTGCCAAGATCTGACACACGCATTCAATATGATGGCCTACTCGTTCACTGAGGATCAAAACTCAAGAATCAAAGCTTACTTACTTGTCCTAATGGCTAGATGCAGCTTTCAAGCGGTGAGTGATAACTGCACAAGCCAAGGTCACTTCTGAAAGCACTTTTTTGTGAAAATGGTAATCTGACAAAGTTGCATCGAAACGTCGTTTCACACAGAAAGTTAAACTTTTGGTATTTAAAAAGGAGTTCTTAAAAAGGTGAATCCACCAACAATCATTGGTCATAACGGCTTGATTGCCTCCCCACTGACTGGGTCGTCAATATTCCAATTTGCTGCTACTCACTCATTTACATGTTATGAAAGAATAAATCATGTAAAAGATCGCAGCACAGGGCTTCACTGACACAGAGTAAAACATCAATTATCTTCTCAGTCCATAAGAGCATTTATGTCATGTAGCAGAACAGAGAGGGAGTTGTTGAATTATGTCATTCTACTTTCAGAAGCAGTACAGACTCTGCACAAAACTGTGTGAACAAGGTGACCATAACAAATAACAAATGAATTTCCAATAGGCCGTAAATACACCTATTGTCCAAACTGCCTTTGAAAGGTAATCGTTTGTTGTTGTGTTACTATTCCGTTTCGTTCATTTGTGCTTAAAACTCATTTTGTTCATTTGAAATATCTTTTTCTGCATGAACGTAATGAACAACGCAATATGTTAACTATTTTACTAATAATTTCAGCCTGTGAACTGGAGGAATATAAAAGTTACATACCCTTAGAAGTCTGGGCAAACGCTCTTGACAAGGAGAAACAATATGGTGCAGCCCTGGGCAAGCTTGAACATGCATTGAAATGTGTGATGGTAATTTCAAATGCTGTTTAAATTCTTCCACTCCATTAAACAAATTCAAAATGAACCTGCAATTGCAGATACTGCTTATTGTGTCAGTTAACAATGGAATACTGTATTCGTTAATTTCTGGGGGTTTTCCACGACTGTTCATATTCATATTTCTACTTTACTTTAATGGTGTCCGTTTGCCACTTACCCAAAATACTGAGGTTATTATTTCAATATAATTGTTGCTTTAATCCATCATCTCATGGATGGAGGAAACACTAGAAGCACTGAAAAAAAATGAAAAACGGAAAAAGTCATGGACCAGATGGTTTCACAACAGAATTTATAAACTTCTTCTGGATAGATTTAAATAAATTCTTGATACGTTCTTTAAATTATACATATCTAAATGAAAATATATCAGTTTCCCAGAACAAGGACTAATTACATGCCTACCAAAATAAAACAAACCAAAGCTTAAATGGCGGCCACTTTCTCTCCTCAGCACATCAAATAAACTTGCATCAGCGGTTATAGCCAATAGAATGAAAAATATGCTACCACTAATAATAAATGATGACCAAGAAAGTTAAGTACCATGAAGATATATTGGTGAGGTCACTAGGCTGATATATGATCTAATGGAGTATACAAATTCTTATCAAATACCAGGACTATTAGTTCTAATTGATTTTGAAAATGCTTTTGGTTCAGTTGATAGAAATTTTATACTAAATGTGTTAAGATTCTTTAATTTCGAACCTAGTTTTCAGAAGTGGATAAAAACCTTTTTAATGATATGAAATCAAAGTGTACTTGTAAATGGATTTGCTTGCACCTTTTTTCCTATAGCGAGAGGTTGGCGTCAAGGAGACCCTGTATCACCATATATTTTTATCTTATGTGCAGAAAATTTGGCTATACTTATCAGAAATAATAAAACTATTAAAGGCATTAAAAAAGGAAATATTGATTATGTTCTTGCACAATTTGCTGACGATACTTCCCAACTTTTAGATGGCACTGGGAGTAGTCTATATACCTTGCTTAATACTTAATCCTTTTTTGCAAGGTTTTCTGGCTTGAAAATTAATGCTGACAAGACAAGACTGATCTGGATAGGCTCTAAAAATGTACAATATAGAACAAACTTTATGGATAACAACTTCTTTTTATTCGTGAGTGCGACGTTTCGATACAGATTCTTGTACCGTTGTCAAGCATAATGGGACATAAAGAGGGGGAAAAGTGTATATATACTGGGTGTGACAATGTGACAAAGAAAACAACATAATTAACATAATTGGCTAGGCAGAAGGCTGATGAAGCCAGAGAGTAGACAAAGGACAGGCGTAGAAGCCAATGATGTACAAATGTAGTGACATGTTTATACAGCAGTGAGTTTATACAGTGGATTGGGCTTGGTGGATGAGTGCATCATAAGCGGATGGAATGAAGTATCCTTGGTCTCGGTTGATGGTGGGCTTTGGCGTTTGATAGGGCTGGCTTCGGTGAGCTTGCGTTAAGTGAAGTCTGTTTGTTTGTTAGAGAGAATGGTGATGTCAGACCACTCTATTTGATGATTGGGGCTTGCTTTGATGTGGTCGGAAATGGCTGATTTGCTGTCGGAATGGTGGTAACAGAGGTCTGATGTTCTTTCACTCGGGTGTTGATGGGTCGGGAAGTTTCGCCTATGTAGCTCTGCCCACAATCACAGTTTATTTTGTAGATGACACATTTTGGGTTGTTGTTCTTTATGGTGGTGGGTTTTCTTCCATTGGCATGGAGAATGTTGTTAAGGTTGGAGGACGCGGAGAAGGTGGTATCTATGCCAGCTTGATCTTTCATGAGGCGGAGACCTCTGTTACCAATTCCGACAGCAAATCAGCCATTTCCGACCACATCAAAGCAAGCCCCAATCATCAAATAGAGTGGACTGACATCACCATTCTCTCTAACAAACAAACAGACTTCACTAAACGCAAGCTCACCGAAGCCATCCACATCAAACGCCAAAAGCCCACCATCAACCGAGGACCAAGGATACTTCATTCCATCCGCTTATGATGCACTCATCCACCAAGCCCAATCCACTGTATAAACTCACTGCTGTATAAACATGTCATTATCATTTGTACATCATTGGCTTCTACGCCTGTCCTTTGTCTACTCTCTGGCTTCATCAGCCTTCTGCCTAGCCAGTTATGTTAATTATGTTGTTTTCTTTGTCACATTGTCACATCCAGTATATATACACTTCCCCCCTCTTCATGTCCCATTATGCTTGACAACGGTACAAGAATCTGTATCGAAACGTCGCACTCACGAATAAAAAGAAGTTGTTATCCATAAAGTTTGTTCTATATTGTACTTCCCAACTTCTAAAATGCCACTCAAAGAAATCTAAAAATGTAGATATAAACTCTGTAAAGACTGGAACTTAAACTGGACGTAAAGTAACTTTAAGTTACTAGGTATTATATTTGATGTGGACCTTGACAAAATGGTGAAATTGAATTACGATAATAAGTTTTAAAGGACAGAGAATGAAATGAAATTATGGCCAATAAGAACACTTACCCCAATCGGTGGAAATGTTATTTTGAAATCACTATTACACTCAAAATTAAACCATCTATTTTCCTTAATTCCATCACCCCCAGATGAGATAATAAATACATTTCAACAAGCCTGCTTCAAATTTGCATGGAAAGACAAGCCTGATACAATAAAAAGAGATGTATTTGCTATGTCACCTGGATATTGAGGAATTTGTGTCCCACTCATTAAGAATATCATTTATGCACATGTAATATCATGGATAAAGAGATTATGTTCCAGTAGCTGCAAATGGAAAGCATTAGTTGAATATTGTATACCTAACTACAGGAGACTTTGGTTAGCTGATCCTGAATATATGGAAAAGAGATGTAATCTCTGCATGGGGAACATATTTACAAAAGCAATATAAGACATTAAACTCAAACGACATGTTAAACCAATGTATTTGGTTTAATTCTATGTTTAAAGAACCACTAAACTTTGTTTGTTTTTTGTTACTCTTTTAACCATTACATATGAAAAATTTGTGGTTAGTCTTAAGCGGAACACCAAATTTATTCTTTAAAAACTTGTGGTTAATTAATACCGAGCGATTAAAAGTGGCCAAAAAGTCGCCTGCTTCCCTCTCGCCCGCCATCGAAACCACAGACAGGTTACGTAACTCTGTCGCCAGAGCACTGCAGTGACGTCATATGAGGAACGATTTTCAGTTAGTTGTATAGAAAATGTGTAGCACGCTCATCATTTTGATGATTTCTCGACATCAACGACGACATGCCGAATCGTTGCTTTATCGTCAATTGCTCCTAGGGGTCGGGCGATGGTGTCCCCATGCACAGATTTCCACAGGACCCCCGCATTTCGTGCTAAATGGGTTATGTTTGTGAGTGCGAAGCGAGCGTTGTGGAAGCCTGAAACGATATCTTACTTGTGTTCAGATCGCTTCACGGAAGTTAAAGAATCAAAACTACTTACTAGTTGTAGTAAAATATGCATATGATTGATGACCATAACGATTTTCTATGACACAGCTTGTAACATAACGATTTCTTCCTTAGGAAGTGAGGTTATTTCGAAGTAACAATAATAGTAGTATTATATTGACACCCGCCTCGCTGCCACGAGGAGACATTGTTATGTTATACGCTATGTCATGCAAAATCCTATTGGCCATCAATAAAATACATATTTTACTACCAGTAGAAAGTAGTTTTGATTGTGTAACTCGGTGAAAACAAACCTAAACCATATCAAGAAGAAGAAACGTTCAAGGCGTAAGTTATTTTTAAAACGAAAACGACCTGAAAAAACGATCTTATTTGTAAGACAACAACTATCCCATGTGAATTATGCAAGTTGCTATTTACTATTGGTGTCGTTTATTTGATCGAATAAAGATTTATGAGCTGTATATTTCAATGATATCATCCAAGTCATTATTTGATTTTTTCAATGGAGATATTATCAGTTCGTTGTGTTCACACGGAATAACAGATACAATATGCAAACAGACTATTTTTTTTACTTTTTCACATGAGTTAGCGAAAACACGGAAATCTGCTGACAAAGAGCAAGTTAGTGAGCTTGACTGTTTGAAAGGTTCTCCGTTGCCCCCATCTAATCCTTCAACACAACATCCTCTGTTGATGGCCACTGACAATAACTCATTTCTGCAATACAAAAAATGGGATGTATCCAGCGGAGAAGGGGAGTCAGACCTTGAAGATGCCTTCCAACTTCCAGAGCCTGAACATAATGAGAAAGAACCCCAAGTGACTAAGGTGAAACCTGAGGTGCAAGTCACGACTTGGTTTGATGAAAGCAAAGACGTGTATAATAGTTCTAAAATGTCAAAACGTCTTTCCTGTGGAATGGAGACAAACGTGGACGTTACAACATTTGAAGCTGGGAAGACACAACATACAAGAAATCCTTTCTATCAGAAGATGAAATCAGCAGATGAATTGAAGCGACTAATGACCAAGATGCCTGAACGGTACAAGCGATGTAGGCTTGAACTAGAGTCACCTCACAAGGCTGTGTGTAAGGTATTGACCGGATCTGAAACCTACCGTGAGATAGAGATTCATGGGAGATCTAAGTGTGGACAAACCTTCAACAATGATGAGGTGTGCGTAGAGGTATTGGCAAACCCAGTTTCTGACCAACGGACATACAGGAATACACAAAAAAAAGATTCCAAAGTTTATGGACAGGTCATTGGTGTCCTGAAGAGTAACTTCAGGGATCAGAGTCACCCTGTCATGGCCTGTACTTGTGATCATGATGAAGGATTCTTGATGCGCCCCCTTTGTCGAACAGTACTAAAGATGCATGCCCTAAATGGAGTAACTAAGAAACATCACCCTTCACTGTCAAAGCATAGAATTGATATGTATGAAATCAATGAGAAGGGACATATTCATTTTAAGACATATTTTGATGTGAAGCCAGAGATGAAAGAAAAATATGTTTTCCTTGTCATCTATCTAACGTGGGGCATACATCACGTGTATCCTCTGGGTGCAGTGGTAGACGTCTTGGACTGCGGTACTGACTTTCATGGAGGTCTCAAAATATTGGAAATGCAATACAAGGTTCCAACAATATATCCCCAAGACACAGTTGCTCATATTGGTAATATTCTGGAGAAGAGAGAAACGGTTACTGCTGATGGCAGAGTCGACCGCACAGGGCTTGAAGTTTTCACAATAGATCCTGCACATTCAAAAGATTTAGATGATGCTTTGAGTATCTCTGCAACAGATGATCACTATCTGATTGGAGTCCATATTGCTGATGTTGCGGCAGTGGTGAAGAAAGGGGACCCAGTTGACAGAGAGGCACAGGAAAGAGCAACAAGCTTCTACCCATGTGAGTCTAGAACTCACAACATGCTACCTGAACCATTGAGTGAGGGCTTGTGTAGTCTGCTACCACATGAAGAAAAACTTGCATTGTCAATTTTCTTTCACATGGAAAAATCAGGAAAACTTGTGAAAGAACCAACAGTCATGAAAACAATTATTAAATCATCCTGCAAGTTGTCATACGAAGATGCCCAGAAAATTATTGAAAATGGGAAGTGGATCATGTTTCACAAAGTCTTAAAGACAATATCAAACTGCTACATGAAATTGCTCAGACTTTGAGAAAGGACAGACTGAATGATTCCAGGTTTGCAGTTCCATTTGAAGATCCAAGATTTATTGAGACTGAAATCATAGAGCAGAATATGGAGGCTCATGCTCTGGTAGAAGAGTTTATGATCAAAGCCAATACATCCGTTGCTCACTGGCTGAGAAAGAAGTTCCCACATTCAATCCCCATCAGATGTCAGTCTCAACCATCAACTGAGGATGTCCAGAAATTTGTCCAAAGTGAAGAGAAGTTCCTGGACCTTGTGGTGAACCTTCAGGGACGAGAAATCTTACCTGGGAGGAGGGTCGCATCCAAGAACTGGGTAGCCAAGGGCAACACTGTGAGAAAAGAGCCTTTGCCAATCCAGAGGAACATCTGGCTTCAGATTCTTGATGGAGTTCACAATGAAACATTAGACAAAACGGTAAGGAATATGTGCAAAGATGAGGTCCATCCTTTTCAAGCCATTGCTCTTCAACACTGGCATTGCATCATGGAATCTGCAGAATACAAATGTTCAATGCTGTCTGAAAAAGAGCTGAGCCACTTCTCTCTGAATACCAAAATGTACACACATTTCACATCCCCTATCCGGAGATATGTGGACCTGGTTGTACACAGGCTGGTACATGCAGCTCTGGAGGGTACATCCTGTCCCTACTCACCCTCAGAAATAACTGACTTGTGTGTCCATATCAACGATGCCACCTCCAGACAGAAACACTTTAGCAATGGATGCCAAGCTTTGAGGAGAGCTGCAAAGATGTCAGAGAGGCCAATGGTGTTCAATGCTGTGGTGGAAAAGGTCACAGATAGTGGAGCACAACTCTGTATTCCATCCTTGAAGCATATCTCAAGCAGAAGCAAGGAATTACCCTTCAACTTGATGGACTTCAGTAAGAAGCCAGAGGAGATACAAGATCCTTGGTCTACAAAGGCAATCATCACTGGAAAATGGAAGAAAAGGCTGTATGACTGTACTGGATGCCCAAGCCAGCTGACATATTCTAAGATGCTAGAAAAGCAGCAAGGGTCCAAACAGAAACGACCCAAACCAGTTGTGTCTGTTGTTGATCCTAATCAGCATGTGTACTTTGTGGACACACAGACGTGGGCAAAGATGTTGAATGCATTGTTCAACCAGGACCTTAAAGCATTGAAGAAAATAGTCAACAGTCAACCCCAAGATGGACAACAATTGCCTTCCGGAGCACCAGTGAGAGACATGGTCACCTCAGAGTATGGAGATGGTTCCATCAAGTTTCAACAGTGCAAGTTCACACTGTGCTTTACACCTGGACGTGTCATCAAAGTGCAGATGGTTGCTAATCCAGAGAAAGGTTTGCTCACTCCACAAGTGAGATTGTTTCATGTTTGCAAGAATCTCAGTCTGTGTCTCAGTCACATAGAAGACCCAGTCGGAGTGTTGAGCAAGTATGCCACTGAGTCAACAAACAGAACCTTTGAATCAGTTGTTGAATATCAGCGGACATGGCTGCCCCTTCTAGAGATGAATGCTGCCATGACTGCTGCTACCAGTGAAGAAAATGTTATCATAAACAATGTCGCTATCGACTTCACACTGGAAGTTTCACGCTTCAAGGAAACTTTATGCGTGAGAGATGTATAGAGTTTGGAGGAAAATCTATAGACAAACTGAAAGAAGGAGATAGTACTGATGAGGACTCTGGAATGAGAAAAGTAGTACCTATTGAGTATCTGTGTATAAGATGTCCGATTCCTCAAATTACATATGCACCTATTGAAATGGGTGCAGAGGTGACAGAATCTACAAAGAAGACAAAATCATCAAAAAAACACAAGAAAAGAATGTCGAAAACAGCAGATAATTGTGACATCGCCAGTTCCGATACAGACTCATATACATGGGTTGGGCATGCCCAGATACTCAAAGTAAGAAGAAGAGGGAAAGAAGACAGATTCAGATCGTGTGGATATCACATTCAGCCTGAATTCAAACAGTGGTCATGTTCCAGAGTGCCTACTAAGTAAGGCTTCAGGCACGGTAGAGATTATCATGAAGTCAGAGGTTGACAGGTGAATACGTTATTTTCTAATGCTGCTTATGAAAGTAAGAGATGAAGAACAAACATACCTTCTTGTTTCATGTAACGTCTTCCTGATTCTCTAAAGGAGTCGAGCAAACATATGTGAAAAATATTAACGAAAGACCTCTTTATGCTTTTTGTTTTCATTCTATCTTCATGTGTGTATATTTAAGCATACTTGGTGAATATAAATTAATTTAAATTTGAAATTAGGACAAGGGTGTCGACGTTATAAGGAATCTTTTTTCCAGGCGTACAATGACAATGCTTCAGGAATTGGGCAACGAGGACTATGATTTGGCAGAGGCTATTGCGCTGGGTGGATCGTTGCCAAAACTAGGTAATCTTTAATATTTAAAAGTAAATATTCTCGTCCATGGGCGAGATTTTTTAATATCGCTCTAAATTAGCCGAATTAAGTCAAAATGAATTGAATTTTGTGTCATGAAAGATACATTCATTCATTTACAACCACCAAAACATGAATTCTGAGCGAAACTAAACATTCTCGCCCATTGGCTGACCCATGGGCCGGCTCAGGGCGAGCGAGTTTAAATTTGAGTTTTCGAAAAAAAATAATTCAAGTTTTCATCTTTATTATATATTCAAGACAGCTGCATGTTTCATTTTGTCAATTCCTTTCTCAGACTTGCGAGTCCAGAGTCAAATTGTGCCGTGTTAAATGCGCCTACTACGTGTCTTAAGTATTTAAGTCGGCCCATGATTATTTCTCCTTCAAGCCAATGTCCTGAAAAGAATTTTACCCGAAAGACTTCAATTTAACTGTAGATAAATGAAATTTGAAACACGCCGATATTAAGGTAGTGAACAAAGTTCAAAGTGGTACAACACTACAATGTTGATTATATAATCATTCAGAACCTTTCCTTCACACAGATATTTTTCTTTCAGAGAACGAGCGGTTAAAAGCCGGCTGTGAAATTGAAAAGGAAATCCCTCCCGGATTTCTTCCTCCCAACAATCATAAGCAAAAGGATGCCATTTCTCAAGCCCTCACTTCCAGTTTCTCACTTATACAAGGACCACCAGGTAGTGATGTATAACATTGTTCAATGTGAAATATAAGCAAAGTTATCATAAGTGTGATTTCAGAAAACTTTATATGTCCACCGCTAATTTACTTTATTTTATAACGACATTTAATGTACCACATTGCGCGCGCGTGTGTGTGTTGCGTGTATGCGTGCATGCGCACAGCATGTGTCTGTAACATGGACACCGCACTCCAGATACAGTATACTGACATGCGCTGGGCATGATAACACAAAGAACCATGTTTATCGTGTTTTGGTATGATGCTGATAGCACTGAATCATTGCCTTTGTTCCGAGCAGACGCTCACAGGGGTTTGTTAACGGAAATGAACACAGCTACATATCCTACAAACGAAACTAGCAAACCCCAAAAGACAAAAGTAAGATATGTTCATGCATTCAATGATGTAGCATACGAGGCATCTGCAAATCAATGCGTTCACGATCACCATAATCTTCATCCTTTAAGGGACTGGCAAAACATACACAGGCATAAAGCTGATATACCTGTTTGAGAGGATTAACAAGAATATGCACCAGGAAGGAAAAGACATGAAGAAGAAACAGGTGCTCTTCTGTGGACCTTCCAACAAGGCTGTGGATCTGGTTGGACGTATGTATTTTGTTACATCTCATGATGACCCGAATATGAAGGACATGACATTGATTTCGTAGATAATATGAGATTTTGTTAGAGTGAATCAAAACATAGAAAAATGTAATTTTCTGTTGCTTTGTTGAGAGTTATTAATAGCTTCACAAGCAAACTTCTAGCATGCCTTTTCTTTTGTAATATCATGCAATAATAATTGCTGCTTTGTCCAAGATACTCTGGGGCTCTCCAGATGTTGTTAAGACTATGGAGTGGCTCACATTCGTTGTTTGAAATGTACTTCCATTTCATTTTTAGTCAGTGACAACGGTATATGATTAATGATGTAAGAAAACAATCTAATTTTGTAATCGTTGATTGTTTTAGGTTTACTTATTAAACGACTAGCGCACATCTGCCCTCAAATCATCCGAGTATATGGACAGAACATCGTGTCTCAAGATTACCCTGTGCCAAAACGTAACTTTTTGTCAAGGAAAAGTCTCCATGGATTAAATTCAGACAAAAGGTTGCGTAACATATCTCTTCATCACAGGATTAGACAGCAAGACAAACCCTATGCAAACGAAATCAAGAAGTTTGACTCGTTTTTCCTAAACAATTACAATGATGTCACATCTGACCACATAAAACGTTACAGCGAACTCATTTTCAAAGCGTCTTGTGAAGAGCTCGAGAAATGCGATGTTATCTTGAGCACATGCGCAGTTGGAGGCAACATGAAGATTATTACATCTGCCAATGTTTTCCAAGTAATAATTGACGAGTCTGCGATGAGCACCGAACCACAGACCATGGTGCCCATTATTGCAACAAAGGCCAAGCAGGTTGTTTTGATTGGAGACCACAAGCAACTGCGTCCTATTGTACAGTGCAAAGCGGCTGCTGATCTGGGCCTGAACCGATCGCTGTTTGAACGGTATGCTTCTCAAGCTGTATTCCTGGACACCCAGTACCGTATGGTAAGTAATAATTATTGGGTTAAAATGTGTAAGGGAGAGTGTATAGACAAAATTACACTTTTAAAATGTTACATCAAATTATTGTAGCAAGTCTACACGTCATTTGCATATTTCTGCTTTAGCTTGTTTTCAGAATATTTTCTATGTTCTAACATATCTAACAATCTGACTTTCAAAATATGACATTTTTAAGAAAGAAAGTTATTTTACTTATATAACATCCCTTCATTTAACTGTTACAGCACCCAAAGATCTGCCAGATCCCATCCGACATATTCTACGAAGAGGGATTAAGGACAGGCAGTTCTCAGATGTGGCGGATTGATACACCTCTGAGACTGTGGCCGGTATTTGATGTTCCATATCTGCTGTGGCACGTTGAGGGTACAGAGCATGTTTTGAGCGTGTCCGCAGAAGAGGGAAACGAACAGTCAAGATCCAACTCAGCTGAAGTTGACATCGTGGTGAGTAGCGATAAAAGTATCATAACGTATTTGGCTTTGTCAGTATGTTTCGGCTAACATCGGCGGTGTGCAAGTACAGTACGTTGGTAAAGCTGCATGTTTTTCTGTGAGATCGTGTCTTGACTACAAAACACAAAAAGAACAGTTTCCTTCTACGTTTTAATAATGGACACGGCTCATCTATTTTGGTTGGTTGGTTTGTTGTTTAACGACGCACCGAAATATTCCAGCTATATAGCAGCGGTATGTATATAATCGAGTCTAGACCAGATAATCTAGTGATCAACAAAATGAGTATCGATCTACACAATTTAGATATTACGATAACATTGTCAACCAAGTCAGCGAGCCTGATCCCCCGATCCCGTTAGTCGCTTTTTTCAACATATGTTGTTGAAGACTTTTTTATGATAGTTGTTACAAGTATGGAGCTTGAGAGAGAATCAGGCAATATGGCGTGTATATGATGAGACAAAAAAAGTTTATCAGTACAGGTCTTGTTATCAAAGCGGGGGACAACAGCTGGATCCGGCAGTTCCTGGATACACTGATCACCCGTGAAATTCCCACGTATTGCCACCAAGTCAAGTTTACAGTCATGAGAGACACATCCATAGTTGCTTAAATGTTTTGCTGCAAATGCTATATTAAGCTGCCTCCAATTTCTCAAGCGTCCAGTAGTTACATGAGGAAGGAATAGGCATTCACCAGACCAATGTATTCTTCGCCAAGTCCTCAGATTTCAGCGTTGCCATGGTAAACACCAAACCAACGGTATTTGTCAGTGAGGATCGCTCCGTAGAGGACGTTTGATTATCCTTCTTGAGTTATACCTAGCTTTCCTTAGGCGATGCTGGATTGTTCTCATGGAGGCCTGGCGAAATGGAACCAGTGGTGCTTCAGAATAGTTCTTGTGGCGAATGGTTGTCTTCGAGTTGTCAATAGTGCCGTGTATTCGCGACGTCAACCTGGTTCGCCCGTAACTTGAGCGATCCTTCACCTCATTGGTTTCCCTGTATTTTCTGAACAAACGACTGACAAATGTATACTCGTAGGTTTGCTCATGAACATGCTCCACAGGGTGTGTTTGGAAGACACTTCACACCATGTACACTTGCATAAATTTCTAAATAAACATTAATGCGATAGGTATTATCACACACAAGCTGAACATGAACATTGTTCTGTTAGAGCGGATATGTATGTATGTATGTATGTATGTATGTATGTATGTATGTATGTATGTATGTATGTATGTATGTATGTATGTATGTATGTATGTATGTATGTATGTATGTATGTATGTATGTATGTATGCAGGTAGGTAGGTACGCGTGTGTGTCTGTCTGTAGGTAAGTAGGTGGTAGATGTGTGTGTGTGTGTGTGCGTGCCCGCGTGCGTATGCGTGGAGTAAAATATCATCATTTCAGTATTGAATGTGAGACATTTCAAGATATCATCTTCATTTGTTCACTTCAGGAGGAAGTATTCAGTTGGCTTACAGGAAAGGAGAAGATCGACCCTACTGCCATCAATGTCATGTCTCAGTACAACGCGCAGTGTTCAAGGATCAGGGAGAAACTGACACTTTACCATTCAGTTTTCAATGTGAACACAGTTGTTGCAAGTCAAGGTTTGTGTTTTCTTCAGAAATAGAAAATCTAGGATTTATTCAAGTTCTCGACTATTGGCTATGTGACCAGTTTCGTTGTCGTCTCACGACCGATTTTCATCTGTCTCCAATAGGCGTATTTTCACTCACATTGAAAAGTGGAAATATGGTCCAATTCATGCTTGCACCAACAAAGGGTTTACAATGGTGGGGGTTATTACCCTTATCCTCACATCATATAATACATTGTCAAAGGTTATGATTTTGATTTTTTTACCAAAACTCAAAATCCTTTTAGTATGGTTCTAATAATGTTGGTTTCGAATCCATAATTCACGATGATTATTATCCCTGGTTCGTGAGCACCCCTCCCCATGTTTGGGTGTTGCCTTGGCAACCTTTGTTCTTTTTTGCTGTGTTTGGATTTGGGACCAATATACTCGAATGTAACTATTTGTTTCGATGTATTCAACAAACTGGAGATGTTGCACATATCATTTGTGGCCAAACCAGATCTTTCGATCCCGATAAGCGCATCCTTGGAGGGTCATTATCAACATTACCTTTATTATAAAAGGTACGTATTTACGCTGTGTAATGAAGATTTTGTGTTGCAGGAGGTGAATGGGACTATGTGATATTCAGCACAGTAAGGTCACTTCCTCCGTACAAGATAGAAAGACGCCCTACTCTTGGTTGGTGCAGGCAGAATCTAGGCTTCATAACTGACGCTAACCAGGTGAACGTGGCACTCACACGAGCCAGGAAAGGGCTGATCATCATAGGTGAGTAAACAGGTATCTCTATATATACAGAGGAATAGGTTGAGGTTGAGTTGGGCTTTACGTCACATCGGCATTATTTCAGCCATATAACGACGAGAACAAATCTGCATTCATGAACATGAGTTTTAGTTTCCAAACACATACATTCATCACAGTCTTATTTAAAAGCAGAAGATGCCATAGCACCAAAAGCACTCAATTCGTTATTCACATTACAAAGTTACAATTTATGACATACGTCAGCTTCCCTCAGGTAGTTAACAATGAGATGCCCGCTGACACGGGAAAACAGATCTTTCAGTTTTCTCGCATCATAATGTGCATCCCTTGCAGTCGAAAAGTCCATACGGTCAAGCAGAATAGATTGATTTGTGTATCTTGCATCTTTGCGTATAACCTTCAGTAAGTTCTTTAATTATTAATCGCAAACGTAGCACGTTCTTTAAAGTAAACGATGGTTATAACACATTCATAGCACATGGCAATCGCTAATTCTAGTTCGTCATAACCGTAGTGCGTTATAAGCAGTTCGACTAAAATATGGTGTAAGTGTCAGGGACCACAAAACAGTTCGTTATTCCGTCAGTCTGTTATAAGCACTTTGTTCGTTGTAGTGTTTATAAGCACTTTGTTCGTTGTACTGTATATCATTTTAATAGTTCATAATAAATAATATAACCAAACACATTTACTTTTACTTGTATTAGCGTGATTGCACAGTTCGATGTTTGTTACAGGAAACGTGAATCTGTTGCGGACTGATGATGTCTTTAAACAAGTGATAGCAAGATATGAGGCTCAGGGATGTGTTGTTGAAGGCCAGCGCTGCCCACCCGCGAGGCGTCAACGTCTCTTCTGATAACAAGACATGAGGCTCAGGGACAACGCTGCCCGCTTGTTCCTTCTTGAAGGAAACCTTAACTGAGAAGCCTAACAACCGTGTGTAGGCAATCCTGACGAGGATGAACTTTATGTGATAAACATCAGTTCAGATCTATTACATTACAATAATTAGTATTGTCATAGTTTACTGTTAACTAACTTATGTCCATCTGTATTCACTTGTATTGTTAGTTATGGAGAAAGGAGAAATCTTAAAATGAACTTGATTTTTCGTAACTGTGTCTTCTAACTGCTGTCAGAATAGGATATGAACATCAGAATATGTTTTGGTTGTTGACTGGTTCTGACCAAATATCTCAGCCAATCAGCATGACGATAGACCTGTTGTTGACGGGTTGAGACCAAATATCTCAGCCATCAACATTATATTGACATCTGGCGTCATTTCAGATTTGTTTAGCTTGGATTTTTATGCGCTCTTTTATATGATCTTTATGTGAATGTATGTATTTCTATTTAATAAAATAAAGTGTTTAACGCTATTTGTTATTGTATTCTATTGTATTGTACTTTCACATCGGCCACTATCATTTGACATTCCGCGCTGCCACAGTGTGTTGACAAAACATTGTATGTACAAGTTTACTTCCTTTCCTCAGCTTCCGTGAGGAAACAGGGTTAGACTATATCAACTTGTAATATGGAACAGCTGGTCAGGTCTGATTACTGATAGCGCGTTGTGGTACAAAACCAGTCACATATATCAGTCACAAATATGTATAGTTCCCCATCTTTCAACTGAAGTGAAAAACGTTAAAACATTTATACTTAAAATAATTCTCTCCACGAATGCATTTAACAATGCATTACCAATGAAAGGAAATTACAGTTTCATGGATGGATGGAATAACTGAAGTTAGTATTCAGGCATACTTTAACAAGAAATCTGTACACAGTTGCCCCAGCGAAACAACGCTGTCGATAACAATGAGGATGAAGGAACGTGGTATTGGACAGGACGTATAGGATGGTAGTCATGTCTTGAATCAGCCACTGAACACGGTTGTGTCTTTGGAGCAGAGGAAACAAGAAACATATTATGAAACGAAAAGACTGTTTTGTTCAATAATAATAATGGCATGTATATTGAGCTGTCTCGACGCCATGAAGGTATGCTCAAAGGGCATTAACACTTTATTACAACGGATAACCCAAGCTGCTTGTTAGGCTCTAGAAAGTTATAGTCATATCATTTCTTTCCACCGGGTACCCATTTTCTGCTAGGTGAGCAGAATGAAAAGAAACCTACCCTAAACCCTAAACCCTAAACAGATTATATCCCTATCCCTATCAATCAAATCGATAACATATCATACAGATCTATACAAGAACATCCTTGTGTACCAACTATTTGGTATTCGACAAGGAACAAATGTCGTCACAATGGCCACATAGCCATCTTGGACAACTAGCAGAATAGTAACCTTCGTTTATAAGACGCATTTTAACTTATTTGTTCCTCTGTAAATTCCAAACATTCCATTTAACAACGCAACATATATCAGTAGCGGATTATCCCAGTTACTCAGACATAATTCTTCGATTCATACAAGGACTTTTACCCAGGACCAATATGAGCAATATACAGAGAGAGTCCCTTTAACAAAAGCCCTAGGCTGTTACGTGAGAGTTCCCATCATTAACCGTCACTCCATGACATGTGTTTGTAAGGAGACGTGACATAAGCGGTAAACATATTGATAATGTAATAAGTGTAAGCGATATTTTTAGCTTTCCTGGCACTAGAAGCTTCGCCTATTCCTAGAACGACTACAATGGCTACAAGTTCAATGGGCCGTATGACAAAGCTCTAGTACTTTCTTTCATCAACAGAGCTGTCTTTACAACATTGCCTTTTAATGGAATCAATGTGAGTAAATGTGGGCAGCTTGATACAATATATGGGGGTGTTCTCTTTTTGCCTGCAGGTATTGTATAGGGATTAAAATCAGTGGAGCGTACTAATCCTTAGAACAATGGGCATTAAGGCTATAGTTTGTAGTAGAAATGCAAGTATGCCAGTAAATAAGGAGAACGGTAAAGTTTATCACATTATTGCATATAACACTCGCAAATACAATAAATACACGAATATGAATCATTTGACAAATATGGTGACATTTTGAAATTTTATTGCAAATATCATCCGCAAACACATAGATATGCGTTCAATGCCAGATGTAGTAATCTTTAGTTTAGATGGCACCAGGAAATAATGACTGAGTTCACTAATCATAATGGACTGTGTACAGTGTGGTCAGTGTGTGAACTTGCTGGTGAGTGAACTCCACTTACTTGAACAGACTATAATTGTGCAACCATTGGACTGTTAATCCTAGCCCGCTTATAGCCAATTAAAGTGCAGACGAAAACAGAATACACTAATATATGTAGGTAAGGTGTTTTGCTGTAAAACCACCATGTCTGAAAATTTACAACAAGCATGTTTGGCCAGTCTGTCTTTCCTCTATTCAGACTATAAGACCCCACCGAAAACAATGAATTCAACCTTCTTCATTTAATATCTTCCAAAGAGTTTCCGATTACTTTAATCGAGGTAGAAATTAATACTGAACACGTGTTTACAATGTACAGGTAGGTTACGTGTAGATTTAACAGCTATTTATAACCTGTGTGCGTTTGTCTAAGAGCGAATATGTGAATACACAATTCCATTTAGATATTGATCAAATGTAACATATGATGTATTTAGGATTACACTTTCTCAGTAAAGAACAGATTCTAGTGCTTTTTTCAAGTTGTGTCCCATCCAGGATTCGAACCCACGCTCTCAGAGCCAGACACCTAATTGCCAGCAACAAAGTCAGCGATCTAACCCACTCAGCCAGCGTGTGGGTTCGAATGATTCCGGGTCCTTTAACCCCAAGTCGTTTCACCCGTGTTGTTTCACCCCATTTCAAAACTAGGTGAATTCATCGCACATTAGGGGTTGTTTCACCCCTAATCAAAAATTGTTTCACCCAACTAATTGAGTATACGTGAACAATGGTACTAATGCTTAAATCTGTCAATCCTAATTAGGCAATGTTTGTACAACAATCAGGTAAGTGCTACTGTGTCTTATATCTTATCTAATCTCATCTCATCACGATTAAAAATTAAATGAGCATTTTAATAAGTCAACATTGAGTTAGACGTTACACTCGCATTTCTGCCATGGCGACTGCATGTTTGGAGATGTGCCTCAGCTGCCTCTGTCTGTCTGTTTGTCTGTCTGTCTGTCTGTCTGTCTGTCTGTCTGTCTGTCTGTCTGTCTGTCTGTCTGTCTGTCTGTCTGTCTGTCTGTCTGTCTAGTTAGTATGCATGTTAGTATACAGTGCTTTTCTAGACCCATCCCTTATATACTTTATACCCATTGATAAATAATGTTTAATTTATACCATTCAAATATCCAATGACTAAATTTAAACTGTAAATTATTATTAATCAATAAACTGACTATTTATTTGTCTATAGTGTCAGTATAGGACTTCACCCACAGTCAATATGAAGTGATACAATTATTCAAACAATCTGAAAATGCTGTTTTCACACCATACATAGATGAATAAAACATTGAAATAATTATATAGTTGATAGTAATAATAATTTGCTGGTGTGAAACAACCTCTTAATGGGGTGAAACTACCCGGGTGAAACAGCCTGGGGTGAAACTGTGCTGGGGTGAACGTGTCTGGGGTGAAATAACCCGTTACCGTTCGAATCCTGGAAGAGACTTAACCTAAAAAAGTCGCTAGAATCTGTACTTCACTGACATTACACGAGCGGATAAATATGCAGGCAACTTAGGTCCTTAATGTTACAATACATGTATCTCCTAAACGTTTGCCTCTGTAAGATCTTTCATGGCAAACTGCATTTTCCCTTTGTCTTCGGGGTGTCCTAAGTGAACACATATCTAAGATTATCAGTGGTGTACTTTACAACTTGGCCAACATTGTCACTTAAAGATTGTTACTACCCGTGAAGATCCGGGATAGAATTGGTCTTCATAATTGTCCTAGAAGGCAACTAACGGGATCGGGTGGTCAGGCTCGCTGACTTGGTTGACACATGTCATCGGTTCCCAGTTGCGTAGATGGCTGCTCATGATGTCAGTCACTGGATTGTCTGGCCCAGACTAGATTATTTACAGACCGCCGCCATGTACCTAGAATATTGCTGATTACAGTGTTAAGCCAAAAACAAACTAAAGGGTGTCTAGGTGAATAGCGATGCCACAGAAAGAATACGTTGGACCAGGGCCCCCTTTGCAAATCATTACGAAAGTGACCCGTGAAGATCCGGGTTAGAATTGATCTGATCAGTAACCCATGGTTGTCGTAAGAGGTGACTAACGGGATCAGGAGGTCAGGCTCGCTGACTTGGTTGACACGTGTCATCGTATCCCAATTGCGTAGATCAATGCTCATGATGTTGATCTTTGGATTGTCTGGTCCACATTCGATTATTTACAGACCGCTGCCATATAGCTGGAATATTGCTGATTGCGGCGTAAAACTAAACTCACTCACTCATCACGAAAGTAATCGGAGTGGTTCATATTAACAAGAATCAGACTTTGTTCATTTCAACATGGGCACGTTTGTGACTAATAACAACACTAAATATAGAACTGCTGTGGACTGCACAGTTAGGAGGGTTCCATTCAAAGTCTCAGACCTAAGTCACGATCTGATGGAAATACTGTTTAATTCCAAATTAATCAAACTCACACACCCACCATATAGTTATTGGTGTATTATGGGGAAGATAAAGACATGAAAAACCATGAAGACGTAAAAAACTTTATTTTCCCTTTGTGGAAACTGACAAACATATATTAAAAGTTATGGCACAAACATATACATACTTTTCGCTAAATAATAACATCTCAAAGGTCCCTGTTTGTAAGTCATGAAAGAACAGAAAATTAACATTATATAATTTCCAATAAATGGATTGACAACAAAATAGTCTGATGATGGCACAAATGGTTGCCATGTCCACATTCATATTTAGGTGAAATCTTTGGCGGTTGCTGAAGTAAAGTATATGCTCTGACATTAAGATTTGTTTGAATATAGAAATACTTAGTAAGATAATGAGGAAAGTCTGGGAATAAAATAAAATAAAGATGGTTGCATCTTCAAGTTATTGTCAAAGACTGTAGTGATATATTCATTTCCGTTACCGATTAGTCTCTACGAGGGTGTAAGGGTGAATCGTAATCTCAAACAGCAACTGTCATTATACACTGCCTTGATAATTGGCAAACAGTTTTCACCCAGATATTATGTGGCTCCAACAAACCCACTTGAAAGTAAACAATCAATGTTTAGTTGAATTAAAGCTGTTATCTAAATATAAAAAATATTGACTATGTAATATAAAAGTATGATATATTACATCCGAGGAGAACACATGTATGTAATCAATATTACATCATGTCTTGCATACAACCTATAAAACGGACG